TAAGGTTTTGAGGTGAGTTTTCTTAAATTTTCTTCTATTCTTTCTCTTTGTTTTAACTTTCTTTTTGCTTCTTTGATTTAATTCTTTCTTCTATCTTCTCCTTTTTTTTTCTTCTTCTTCTTCAACTTTTTCTTTCTTTTCCTAATTTCTTTTTTCAATTTCTTTCTTCTTTTAATCTTTGAATTGATTTCTTTCTGTTGCCTTCAATCTTGGATCTCGAGTGTTTAAGACTTAGCAATATGTAAGGATCCAGGTAGCGTGATGAGATGCAAGGTGAGGCAAAGGTGGTCTGGTACTATAACTAGATTGCTAAGTGAGGACTAAAGCCTGCAGCTCACGAGCGCCTTGGCTATACTCAACGTACATTTCACAGAAGTGCAAGTACAAGTGTCACTCTATGAGGTCGTAACAGTTTTGAGGTTGTTGACCATTGTAAAAGTTGGAGTACATTGTTATATATACTTTGAGATGATTTTGGGATTGTTGTTCCCCTTTTTTCTTGATCATTCACATAGTTATTATTTTGTTTATCATTATAAACTTATGTTAATAGTACCTGGTCACTTAAATACACCCTTTATTATAGCTATAAAGAGAAATTTACTTTAGTATTATAGTCAAAAAGACTCATTGGGAATAATATCATTAAGATATTGCTTATTTTCTTCAGTTATCATTTGGGAATAACACTATAGCAGTGTTGATAGTAATAAAAATTGTGCTTTTGAAGTTAAAATACGTGTGAAAGATATATTTCTCTGGTGCCTTATCTGTACTCAATACAACAGAGCCTTTGACTGATTGTGTTGTTTTAGAGGAGCAGTCTCAGACAAATTCTACTAGTCATTTTATTAGTAGATTATCCTCTTCCAGCTCTGTATAACCCTTGTTGGGTTATAAGTTCTACAACGTTCATTGAGCGATGAATAACCCGAGTTTTGGCCATTTCAGCACGGTATTCTTTAGTATCTGGCGCGGTATGGTAGGTGGCCAATTTGGCCTCCTAATGGAGTAACATAAACCATTGGACTGTCAGTCTTGTGTGAAAGGTGTGAATGGCCAGGGATGAAAGTGAGAAATGTACAATGGCTTTGGCCCACTCGAAGGCACATTGAAGGGTAAAACAATATTGAAACATGGGATCCCAAGGCGCCACCAGGACAACTCCATCACCTCCATTGGACATTTCAGCGTGCTGGTGGTAAAGTTTGGCTGTGGTCTCATGTAATTTGACCACAGCCTTGGATGCCTGGTTTTGTGCATTGGTTACCATCCCATACCAAACATAAAAAAAGAACGAAACCAGGGGATAAACTCACTGCTAATCAGGCATTTAAAGCTTTGACATCGTGAGTTCCCAATGCCAAACCCGGTCCAGCCGCAGTAGCAACGGCACGTTTGGCCGCAGTGACCTGTTAGACATGGTGATAGAGGACATTCAGTCACCAAGAAGCAAATAAAAAATGATAATAAAATACTTACTTTGGCGTTCTTTTGCGCCTTCAAAGCCTCGTCCTTGTGAAGAATCATGATAGAACCTTTTTTCTTCTTCAATTTTTCAAGCAACTCAACATATTCAAACCAACCTTTAGAACCATCAATAAGAACCTTGGAGCGACCCACCACTCCCTTCCAAATGATCAAAAGAGCAAGTTCACTAGTCAAGAGCAGCTGCTCCATCAGCAGGGCATGCACATCACAGATCCTGGCGCATAGTTTCTTGATATCATTCAAAGACTTGCCATACAGGCAAGTCTTGAACTCGATTGGTTCCCCGTTGTTGAAGGTCTTAGATTCCACAAGAGGAGACTTGGGGATTCCAGAGGACCAACATCCATTGGTGACCTTTGCAGGAACCGCGTCCGCAAGTGGCATTGAATTGTGAGCATGGAGCTTAAACACAATATCAATGGTCACCTCGTGAGTTTGGTCAAAAGCTTTAGGGGCATCAGAGCCCTCGCGGAACAAGAGTTGATCAAAACAAAACTGACTAATTTTGGGAAGAACAACATTTAGACTAATGCAAGGAAGGAATACAATAAAATAAAATAGACATGAGTGTGGCGTTTAGACTAATAAAAAGGCAAGGGGCTGAGATAGAATACTGACTAGACTACTGTGTAAGGGTTTGTTGACAAGACAAGTAAAAAAATTGAAAACAAATTGTGTAGCTTGGTTTAACCGGGGTAGCAAGAGGCTTGTATGGAAATCGAGACTGCTTTTGATGACGACCTTTATAGCTTCACAACGTGGTTTCACAGCTTGTAGAAGTCAAAGAGACTTGGTGGTTGAAGTGATCAGTTGGTAATGGCCGGGAGAAAACTTTGTTCCGACCGAGATGATAGCAAAGCAACAGAAGCAGCTGAAAAACATGGTGGTAGATTCCCAGGGTGAAAGATTCAAACACTGGATGGCTAGATAGATGCCAGCAAATTGGCAGAGTGACAATTGGAGTTTGTTTGATGTAAGGCTGGACAATGGTTAATTAGTCTTCTTTCAAGGTATTTGATTGAATCAAATTGAGGCATCTTTGAATAACTTGATCTGACCGAGATGATGGCATAAAATCAGAAACATATAAAATTTGTGGTGGTAGAATCAAAGGTTGAAAAATTTGAACACTAGATGGCTAGATAGAAGCTAGGTAATTTGACAAAATGACGATTTGAGTTTGATTGAAGTCAAGGCGGCAAATTGCAAACGTGAGGATTTGAGTTTGATTGAAGTCAGGTTGGCCAATTTTAAGCCGGACGAATTGAGTTTGATTGAAGTCAGGTAGCACTATGTTTGATTGATTAGCCTTTGTTCAAGCAATTTGATGGTATCAATTTGAGGAAACTTCTTAATTGCCTTCAATCGGCGCCAATGAAGAAGTCAAAAAACATTGCTTCTGAGTGAATGAGTAATCTGATTTTAATGAGAAAATATCTACTGAGAATTGTCCATTTGGAATCAAAATGAAGCTTGATGTATTTGGAAACGAGATTTGATGGGAGATTGTTGGAGCGAAACAAAGAAGAAACAAAATGAGAAATATTGAATCAGCTAGATCATTAGGTAAGAAGAGGTGATAATGAACTGAAATCATACCTTTCAAACGTTCCTTGTGTGATACAAGATGATATGATCTGACCAAATAAGGTATTTGGCCAAATAAGGTCGTATATGTCAGGCAAGTGAAGAAGGTTTCATATGATTCATAGGTGGTGTTGTTTCCTGAGAACACCGGCTTCCACACCGGTGACTGAGTCGGAGGCAGGTGGAGGTCGGATTGGGGACAAAAGGTGAGAAGGGATGAAATCAAGGAGGTGAATTGTGTGGGAAGAAAGAAATCTGGCTGTTGAATGAGTAAATACAATACGAGTCATTCTGACGCTTTCTGGCCTGATTGCAATATCCGACCCTGAAATTGTCATGGAAGGGTCGGGTCCATGGAATCTCATGGAATGTCATACATCATACGTCTTGGCTTATGTCAGTCATGAGCCAAGACAGAGACCATTAGACATAAGAGCATCCACAGCCGTGCTGTAAATCAGTATCGTATGGAGGATCGCACGGATCGTTTAGGGAAGTGTTTGAGGCATGATTTTTCACTGATGCACAGCCGTGGTTCCGTACAGTACGGCTTGAAGCATATTTGGCAAGGTGAGTTATGGGTTATTGATCATCAAGGGGGATAATTTGCAGGGAGTGTCGGCAAGGAAGTGGGAGTTTTATGGGAAGAGCGAGGTATGGATGAATTTAGGGAGCAAGCCAAAATAGAACAAATTCCTTCTATTTTGGCTCGCACGGAGGAAATCCCCTTAGCTATGTGACAATTTAGGGCATTGGCTGTGGATGCTTTTGCCCTAAATTTCTGTACGACACGGTTTACGCCACACGGCTGTGGATGCTCTAATGAACTACAAGGTTTCAAGTCAAAAACATCTTAATTTCAAGTTTTGGACTTGGAAGTAAAATCCTTGTGTAACACATTGAGGTCGGAATCTACCAATGATCCCTTTAGTAGCTGTACTTAATTTATATCTCTGTCGTGACACACATCTCAAGTTCATTCCCATAAACATATGTGAAAACATGAAATTTAACGCACAATTAGGGGATACAAAGTAGAATCCGGGCGCGTGCCTGGATTCTACTTTGTATCCCCTAAATATCTACAACACCAAGTGCAATGGAAGGGAACTTTGACATCCGTTGTTCACACTGGACGGTCCAGATAACATCAGTTTCTCATTCTGAACCATGCTCCAAGATGTCAGCAATCTAAGATTTGGCAGTTTCATTTTACAAAGCTTTGGACTTGAGTCACAGTACTTCTTCACCCAGTATCTTCACTTCCCACAAAGTCTTGTATAGAGCTGCAGAAGGATACAAACATTGACTCTCATTGATTGAGGCTTCATAGCGACTTCCAGCTAGGTTGATCGATGCAACTTGATTTTTAAAGGAGTTGAAGATGAGATCCATTGAATGAGGCTTGTAGGAAAGGCAGATTTTAAGTCAGAAAGTCATCGAGCCAAGAAGATGCAGAGCGTGCCTTCTTGTCTAACTTAATCAAGTTCCCTTCGAGGCCTACCATACCAAAAGCAAAAAAAGAAAGAAAGCGAAGTGAGCCTTCTCGTCCACTTTAACTTCTTGACATCTTTTGAAGAATTTGTAACAACAAGCTCAATAATGATCTTACATTCGGTGGAATTTTTCTGACAACGGTAACTTTTTAAGTATCAAATTCTCGATCAATCAAATCTTCAGCCTTTCTCGTCTTTCTAAGGTAAATTTTGGTTGATAACTCCACTTGACATTCCTTTGTTGGTTAACAAATTGCTTTTTAGAAAACAAAGCAAGTTTATCGTGTGGGTAATGAAACACAGTTTCACTATTTTGTTGCCTGGCTCTAATAAAATTTTCAATTTACACACTCAAAGATAAGATTGCATATATATATATCACCAAACAAAACAAAATTAAAATTAAAGAAAAACCTATAAAAGTAACTAGCTACCCAATCCTTGTCCTTTAACTCTTAATAATCCTACTAACTCTTTTTGTACACCCACTCGTTTCTTTAATTCATTCAAATCATCAATAGATCTCAAATCATTAATGATATCTTTAGTTTTTGAGAAATAAACTTCTTTCAATAACGATCTCATCTTCATTTCCATCTCTTCTACTAATTTTCCTATATTATTTAAATGACTTGTTGATAAATTTGTACTAGTCGAAGGTGGTGATAAAACAAAGGTTTGTTCATGCTGTTTTCACAAAATACAATGTTCATATCAGTTCTGAAATAAAGACGAAAGTAAAAGATATAAAGACATCATGGTACTCACCTGTCGTGTCATACTACCAGCTAAGCTTAATTCACCTAATGATTCATTAGATTTTACTAGGTGTAACATCACAGTAGACGTGAGCTTGTACTGCGCGTTTCGACCCCTTTCAGTCGTCTCAAAAACATGAATGGAATCCCAAGTTCCTTTCAACTGATCACTTGGATCAATATCTTAGAAATCAAAGCAAATCAAGCTGTCAATGACCCCGATCTTTCAAGAACTAAAAAGAAAAAGCGTGACCATGACTCACTTTTTTTGAACAGGACTACTCCAGCAAAATCTTCGTCTAAATCCCATAGATAAACAGATGATGCACCTCCCTCATAATACCTACCGATTGTTAAAAGGTTTCCATTGATATCAATATCTGATTAAAATCATATCAATCTATTTCTCAAACTCCACAAAAGATAAATTTCAATCACTCAACAGTTCTCTGTATTTATCGAAAGCGTCATTGAGGGTAATCTCAAGTTTCCTTAATCGTACACTAGGTAAAGTACCTTCGGCCAAATCAGGTTCATAAACGTTTGTCCAAGGACTCCTGTAGTCGAAAAAAGTTCAAAATCAATAAACATTTCACCCTACTTTAAAAAAGTATGATTCACTTACCTATACGAATCTTGATCTCGATTATAATCACAATTTAAAAAATCACGACCAGAAGATTGACATCTTTTAACTTTCAAAGGTTGATCGATTGAAGTTAATAAATCATCAGTTAAATCAGGTAAGATTTCAATTAATGATTTCAAGTTGATTTCGATTTTTTCTGGTGGTAATCTTCTCATTAAATCTAATAATAAATCTAATGATGAAGTAGTGGTTGATTGTTGTGCTAAGATTTCATCCATGATGTTCTTGGTCTTTCAACTTGATTTGATGTTGTTCTTGTTGGTGATTCTGGGTTGGGATTTCCTGATTTGATCGGTTTCAGATCAGTTCAGATACTCGAATAACCACTCGGACTACTCGGACTACTCGGACTACCCGGACTACTCGGACTGCTCGGACTACTTCGGGGTGTCTGATCTACTTTTGCGCTCATGAAGGATTTGTTCGGGGTTTCGTAATTTCTGCATTAATCCATGGTCACGATCATGATCATGATCATGATGCTGATGCTGATGCTGATGCTGATGCTGATGCTGATGCTGATGCAGGCTGGTGACTTGTACAGCATACAAAGTTTAATCCACATTACCATTCTTTTACTTCCTTCACTCAATCATCTCAGAGTGAATTTTCCTTTGTTTTCATCCTCATTCTTATTTTCAATCTTCTTCGTCACTATATATGACCCTGGCCAACGCCTATGGGTATATTGAAAAAGGACCCTCGCAAGCTTCGGTATCCCCAACTCGACCGGTGAACTCGCGAGGGAGAGAGACTTAGAGGGACCAGATGGTTGACTCTTGAGTTTGTGCAATCCCAGCAATCCCACTCAATCCGGCAAATCCTCTCTTGAAATTGCATAAATGGAAAAGCCTAAAAAAATCATGCGAAATCGCGTGGCGCTTGTTGCTTTCCACTTCTTCTCATACCGCCGGTGTTGTATTTAACCTTTGGGAGCACAATCTGCAAAGGGGCAAATTCTATATTTAACGGATCGGACTGATCTCTCTGTTGTTTACCACAGACCCCTCTCATTCAAGTTTTCCTCGGTCATATCTCAATCCTCTTGGAACTGTTTCTAGTAAAAAGACCTCGATAGTTCATCTTCCTCGCTTTCTTTGACAGAAATGCTAAGATACTTTCTAAAGATCTCAACTTTACTCTTATCCTTGTGGATTTATAGTCTTGAGGTGGCGACCGTAGATGGTGAACTGATTTTCTGCACCGCAGGGTTTACAGTGAACAAAGACAAAACTGATGCAGGTATGTGATTTCATTGGAATCTTCATTACTTGATAGCATTCTCGACGTCCAGGCTCAACGCCGACCTGTCTTGTGATCGCTCACATTCACAGTCTGTAAGAAAAATGATCTGAATAATGTAAAGAATTATGATTGCCCTTATTCAAGATGTTGGTGTCAAAGTAAGATAGTTCCCCCTCCGTAAATCATCATCTCCTCGTCGAAGAGCTAATTCACAGACATCTTTTTAAAACAATCAAAGATCATCATTGGACCCCATTCACAGGATGCCGGCTCAAAAAATCAAAAATCAAAGGCACAAGTAATCAAGACTGTGCGGAATATGATTCCCTTCCAGACCGCACTTTCAGTCAGTACCCTGACTCCCAAGACATCCAGTCCTCATAAAGTGTCTGATTTGAGCTACATTATCTGATGCTGAATTGTTGATGTTTAGGTTGCAGGAACCCCGCAGGCGTGGATTATATATGCGATCCAAGTCCCGGGAGTCCTGATATTCCTCCGATGGGTCAGTGATATTTTTTCTTGGTCAAAAGTTAACGGGACTGAAAAGAGTCTGTTTCCTGTTAGTTTGTGACAATTGCAAACAGGGTAAATAGATCACCTGGAAAAAAAGAAATTCGGGAATCTTGTAGCACCTTGATACTTTGGTTTCCTTTGTTTATACCTCTTTATGCAAGGGTAGTAGAGTCCATGGAGGTTTCGGACGAGCAAGGATTTGAGTTGAAGGAAGTACAACCACAAGACAGACATTACATCTACACCACGGGGCAGCTGGCATGTGAAGATCAGGTGAAATCAGCCTCTGCCAATAAATCCTAGGCTCTTCACACCATGCCACATCTACCAGCAACACATGAAAGCCAGCGTGACCATCACCCAACATGGCCATGTGATCACAAGGTGATGGCTCACCTTGTCATTATGTGAGAAGCGTGGCCTGGTCATGGTGTGAGTCATCTCACCTGATGGGACACCTGTTCATTGGGTGAGATGACTCACACCATGACTAGGTGTCCCATCACCTAATGACCAGGTGAGCTGTTATCTAATGAACAGGTGGGCTGTCTCGCCCAATGAACAGGTGATGGCTCACCTGTTCAGGTTCACCTTATTCCAGTCCTGTTTCATTAGACACAAATTTATTTTTGTGGCTCAGGCATCTCACATCTATAGCATTCCTGCTACATATAGTATATTGCAGGAAGACTAGAAACAATACAAATGAGAAAGGAAATAGTAATTACACTAAGAACAAAGCCTAACAAATAAATTGAGAAAATTGAAAAAAAAACAGAAAATCATCTTAAACTTGAGGTGAACCAGTGTCTTCATCTACAGAGAGATCATGAAGCCCATTTCCAAATCCATCATCATCTTGCTGATCTTCATTTTGTTCTTCTTCAGTGAGTTCACGGATTGATTATGAGAGTGGGCACTTTGAACATGATTAGTCACAGGTGAAGCAAGGTATTGAAGTTCAGAACAGTATGAAGCAGTAGCTGTGCTTCGTACACTTTGGGGTACATGCAATAAGAGAGAACGTCCTATAAAAGTTGTCAAAAAGTCATTCGGCATTTGCAGGAATTGTAATTCGTTATCAAGTCTGAAAAAGACAACGAACCGTTGAGGTGATACTCTTTCCGAATTTCTCTTGAAGATCCTTCCTGGTCTTATCAAAAGTATATGGTGCCATACTGATACCCGGACGACCCTGAATTCTAGGTTTATCACGAATGATTTGACTATGTAGCGGCTCTGGGAATCCACCCACAGGTTGACCGAGATATCCTTGGAAAAATTCAACCACCGAGTTAGGGAAGTCAAGTTTATCGGCTCGGGCTTTGACATCAGCCTCAGAGAGCTTGTTGGACACCAAGAACTGAGCAAAGTCTCCCACAACTTTTGATGAATGGGTTACCTTTACAATATCACCACATAGTTGATTGGCTTCAATCTATGAGCAACCGGAAGTGAGATAGCCAAGTCAGCGAGGCAATCGCGTGATCAAGCAGGAAACCGCGTACATAAGCTTTCTTCACCACAGCCCGTTGTGTAGCAAGACCAAGTTGTTGGCTTTGGAAGATGAGGTCAGTGTATTGCCCACCGGGCATCTCATGCCTACAATCACATAGAGGAAGCATTGTAAGTTTCTCATAAGGTCAGCTTTACCCAGATCAAATACTCAACTCATAAACACCCGAGTCACTAGCTTTTACGTTAGCATTGAAACAGCTGTAAAGCATTCGGCATTGAGACCGTTCGCTCCTCTTATTAAAGCTTGGAGAGAAATGGTAGGTACTAGGGTACGAATCTTTTGAAGTCGTTCCCATGGATCTTCATAGAGGAATCGCATCGCTACATCGAACGTTGCACCTCCCCAACATTCAAGCGAGTAAGCGTTGGCTAGAGCATGACTAGTTTCACGAGCAATGTTGAGATCGATGGTTCAAAGACGGGTAGCTAGAAGAGATCGATGAGCGTCTCGCCAAGTGGTGTCCATGATCAAACATCCTTTGTAATCACGCACTGCCTTGTCAAATGCAGCAGAGAACCTCAATAACTATTACAGCGTGCAGGGTAAAGATTGAATTGTAATTAAAATACACAGTATCAGCGTATATTGCAATTGCTTAATAAAAGTAAGAGAGTGTGTTATGTCTTACCATCTGGACTGTTGTTTGAGGATGCTCCAGGTCGCATCAGCTCAACTTCATCAAAGGCTGGTAAGTTGTCGAGTGAATCATCATCAATAAATTGAGTGGTATTGAGATGAGAGTTTTTGTTCATCTTGAGTGATCAAAGTAGGGATTGATCATTGAATTGGTCAAAGTGGAACTCGCTCAAGATCAAAAGCAAAAAAATAGGGCGATTGAGCTGCTTATGTGATCACTATGGGTTTTGGTTTTTTCATTTGAAATTTATTCAATATAAATTCGATGAATGTTTGACTCAACATTTGCTCATCTTTTGTCGCAAGTTCATCAAAACTGCAAACGGCTGTACCAGTGGTCAGATGTTTTGTAAACCCAAAGAACCGCGAGATATAACGACAATGTGAAGACCCAATGCTGAATTCTTCAGACCAAACTGTACTTTTAATTTTGCAGATCAAGACCATTGATTTAGTACTCTACTAGAACATAGGCGGGCTTGCCCGCCTTTAGATTCAACATTGCTCCAAGATATAGCACTTAATCATGTAAATTGCTAAGCGTCAAAGTATGTAGTGTGCATAGCCAAGGTGTATGAAACAGGCATAGAGGAATGAGAACTTCAGGTTGCAAAATTAGTCAAATGACAACTTCAAGTTCAGAGTAATGAGTTGCAGCCTGACAGACTCTCGCAGAAGGCAAGAGACAGGGTTACACAAATAGGAAAGGAATGATGGATTTTAGAATGAATGTGTACAAATTCGATGTAGTAACAGTAGAATGTTGAACTACAGACTCACCCAAGTAATATGATCAAGAACTCAAGGTCAAGAGAGTTGACCCGGAGGCCTAGAGTATATGACATTTATCATGATTCAAAATTGGCATGATAGGTCATAGGCAGTAGACTCTATTTGTTGATGGATTTAAGCTGGTATACAAAAGTTCAGCTGAAGCCCATAGATTTGACAAAATGAAGAGTCTTAGAAATTGAGAACAAGTTTTTGATGGTGTCTAAAATACATGTCTTGAGTTTGATGGATTTGAGCTCATATGAAAAAGGAATTATTTGGTATTTTGTTGACTTGGTCTCCTGTACAGAGTGTAGTAGAGTTTTGTTATCACATTGTATTTTGCTAGAACTTGAGGGAGAGTAGTGAGTGTAAAATTATCATGGCATGAAGCTAATCAACCAACATAATAGTGGTTGATTATGATTTAGTATATTAGTGACAAGTCGATGAAATTGAAAACTTAACACTGATGAGCTGAATGTGGAGGTACAGGATACAATGACAGTAGGTGTGATTTTAAGGGATATACAGAGGTTAAATCTTCTATAGAGTGTCAAAAGGGTATGGATTGATTGTATGAGATGGTGAAAAAAATAAGGTTTGGAAGACAAACACAGATGATAAAATAGGTTTGTACAAGAACAGGGCAGGGATTAGTTACTATCTAACATGCCTCAATCCAAGATGATAATGATAAGTTGAAAAGATGAAAAGAGACCAAAGAAACCCAGGATGTACGTGAAGGTGGGTGTGATCAGGATACGGGTTAAAATCTTGACACTGTCAGACAAGCAGAGAGGATTTGGATAGAGATACAATCATACAATTTTTGATCTGAACAAAGTAGGTAGTCAATTCTGAGAATGGAATGACATCAAAATAGTTGTTGGTTTAAGGAAGGGTGAGTGATGGAAATTTGAGACCAACTTAATAATTTTCAGATCCAAAAATAATAAGCTGAGCAAGTAGGTTGATTAATCTAAAGAGATGACCCAAAGAATACCAAATCTATGATTGTAAAGTTTTCCAATGAATGCTGATTGAGTGAGCACTAAGAAATTTTGAAGTCTATCAAGAGGGGACTGAAGCAATGTGCGGTCAAACCAAAATCCATGACCACCAAGATAAAAAATGTGAAAGAGTGAAGCTGAGTAAAATCAAAAAGTTGATATGGAGTTGTTTTTGTAACAGCTGTTGTATGATGGGATTTGAATCCTTGTTTCAGATTTTTGAAGAAGGCAATACACATATCCACAGAGAGTTAGGCAAACAAAAAGAAAGGATATTCAAAAGTGAAATTTCTTGGATAAATCAATTAAGAAATAGCTAAAGAGTCAATGAGAAAAATACAGCCTGATGACAGTTTGGATAAGAGCTTGGTCGGCGAGGCTCGATTTGAAGAATTCACAACATAAAGGTTGTAAAACTTTGTTGAGTGAGTTGAAGTGAAAGAGAGGGAGAGAGGGAAAGTGGTTTGCCACAATCAAGTGTTATAAGGTCAATAAATGAGCCAATAGTTTGAGACACAACTTTAGAATATTGGCAGCCCTTGATAGGGTGGATGATTGTTCTGATAACCTGTTCATAATTGGCAAATTTTTGAATCTGGCTTATGATTTGCTATGATGTATTCATATGCATTTAGATAGCATACTGTTACATGCGTTCGGAAAAACAATCCTAATGATTGATGGCGTATATCGAAGGGCTTTTGAAAAGCATAAGAAGATTGGTCCACCTTGCTTGAAAACATAATTCAAAGTGCTTTTGAAACAATCAGACATTTGCTGCAACCAATAGCAGCCGTGGTTTTGAAAAGCATAAAGACACAGGTTTGCAGGCCATAATCAAGAATGTAGAAAGCATCGTTTACAATGCTTTGATGCGAAAAGCTAGCATATATGCATTCAAAAAGAAATGATATTGATTGCTTTTGAAAACATTGTAACGGGTCAACAACTACATGACATACATAGAATTGCTTTTGGAAAGGAAAGAGATTACAGAGAGAATGCGCTCAATACAATAAACAGTGCTATTTAGGGCACGTTCACTTAAGCAATTTCTGGTGAGAAATCACATTCTGCAAAATTTAAAGTGTCTATTTGGTGGTGTATGTTTCATTTTTGCATTAAAAATTTTACAGAATGT